CGCCATACACTTCCACCAATTGACGATGAATTTCAATTGGTTTAGTCCCTTTTGCGTTCAAAAACCGAATAACTGCGCGAATCTCACACTTCGCGGTTTTAGTAATCGGGAGCTCCATTTCTAACGGCAACCGTGCCAAGACTGAGCATCCTAGCTACGTGCGCGCATGCTTGGTGGTATTGGGGGGAGTGGGGGAAGCAACGAATGCAACAGGGTTGCCAACAGCCGCACGAAAAATTACCCAGCGCTTTGGAGACCTTACTTTTGGAATTAGCTACATATATAGGATTTTTAAGAGTGGAATGGAGCAGGGAAACATGACAAAAAATCACCTAAAATAAAAAATGCATTGCACATACCTTTACGAAAGTGGCATTTGCCAACTAAAATGTAATAATTGCCCATTAAAATATGTAGGGCAAAGAGGCAGAAATTTTTGACCTCTCTTTTACCAGCAAATTGGACTTAAATTTGAGAAAGAAACTAGTGAAATGCTACATTTGGAGCATGGCTTTGTATGGGGCTGAAACTTGGACACTTAGGGCAGTAGACCAGAAACACCTGGTGTTGGAGAAGGATAGAGAAGATCAGGTGGACCAATTGTGTGAGAAATGAAGAAGTGTTATTTAGAGTCAGTGAGCAGAGGCATATCCTACACGAAATAAGAAAACGGAAGGCTAATTGGATCGGTCATATCTTATGCAGTAACTACCTTCTAAAATAAGTCATTGAAGGAAAGATAGAGGGGCGGATAGAAGTGACCAGAAGACGAGAAGACGTAAGAAGATGCTGGATGACCTTGGGGACAGAAGAGGATATCTCATTTGAAGGAGAAAGCTCTAGATCACATTAAGTGGAGGAACTGTTTTGGAAGAGACTGTAGACCTGCTGTCTTGACAGATTACTGATGAATGAATATACCCCACAGTGTTATGTGTCAGTAGATGAGTTTTTGATGATGTGGAAGGAGTCGTGAATGGTATACATTCCTTCAGAATGTGCTAGATTTGGTACAAAATCATTTGAACTGTGAAGCCAAATCTGGTTATGTATGTAATTTTATTATTTACAGTGGGCAGGTTACCATTCTTGATGAGTCCCTAAAAAATGAGCCACAAAAAAAGGTAAAACTATCCTTGTAGCAACCTGTGGAGGCACATAGGATTGAAAGATGTCGAGGCTCCCACATTTTCTACACAATCCATGCACAGATGGTGGTAAGACTGTCAACCTCACATGCCAGCCACCCTTTACCCCCAGAAAGATTCATGGTTCTCATTCCTGTTAAGAGGCTGAGTCGACCGCAGGGCCATAGTGTGGTTGGAAGAATTAGGCCAACTGAACAATCCAATGATCTCATCTGGAATTGAACTATGTCCATCCAACTTGCAATATGGTTCCTCAACCGACTATGCTACGATGTCCCCCCCCCAAATGAGCCACATGGCTCAAAAGTAGTTCTACAATTAATGGCTCCTCTACTGAATCAGGGATAATGTGAAATTATGGACAATTGGGTTTTCAGCCCAGATCCATTGCATAAGCTGTGCAGCAAACAGACTGATGCAATGGCTCCTCTACTGAATCAGGGATAATGTGAAATTATGGACAATTGGGTTTTCAGCCCAGATCCATTGCATAAGCTGTGCAGCAAACAGACTGATGCTATGGGAACCTTGTGTCAAAACAGGAACAGTGTCCCTGCTGAAGTAAGAGTGCAAAACTGAAAAAGGGAGAAAATGTTCCAGTCTACAAAGACAGACTAATGATAATGAAGTTAAAAGACAAAAAAGATATTTGTCTCATAAGTATTGCTCATGATGATAAAATGGTTCTAACTATGGTTTGAGGGCAAGACAAGGAGAATCCCAAAGTAGTCACTGATTATAATTTTAGGTTGGGAGGTGTGGACCTCAGTGATGCTTGCTTGACAAGATATTACAGCACAAGGGAAAGACAAAAAAAAAATACTATAAACTTTAATATACCGGCTATATAAATAAAAATAAATATATTAACTCTGATAACTGGTCTTTCAGAGACTTTTCATTTCATAATTTTATAATGAAACATGACTAAGATATCAAATTTAAAAAATGGAGCAACAATCATAAAATTGAATGCCACAGTTAACAAATTTTAACATCTGGGGAATTTTAATGCCCCACCGTGGGCGAGATAACAACACAGAATATATACACTTAACTGGTTAATAAGAACCTGACCCCTATACTAAGGTAGGTGAATCAACTCCACACCCTCACATCTAACAGATGCTGAACTGTGGAGCTTATATAGTTTGAATAAAGGTGTACTTATATCCGAAAAAGATGTGAAATTCTGCTTTCACTTGCACAATTTATATGAAAGAAAATTACTAGTTTCCAATTGCTTCTTCTATTTTATCAATTTTTTGCTAGTAATGGCCTACCTCAATCCTGCCGAAAGGACAGAAGAAAATTCCAGGTCACCGTAATCACTGTTCCACCTGTCATTTAAACCAATTCCTTCCTAAAGTCAACTAAGATGCATTTTCATTAAAACAGCCTACTATCAGCCTGCCACCAATATTTTAGTGTGTCAGAATGGGTAAAAGGTTAACCAAAGAAAAAAATAATTATATTCCTTAAAAGTAACTCATGTCACTGCAATCTAAATTTATTCAGGAAGGAAACTCACCAGCCAAAACTAAATCATTCAACCTTCCTGGAGTAGCAATTATTATCTCAACTCCCTCTGCAACAATATTCATTTGTTCCCTTCTGTTGCCTCCTCCATACACACATACACTGAAACAAATTAAATAAAATTCAATTAAATCTAGATGTAGTACTACACAAATAGCAAATGCCATATAACAAGTTTTATGTAGAACTGATAAAGAAGTCAAAAGATTCAAACATAAAAAGGGTGATCATTTAGGCCCTAATATAATTCAAGCCAAACCAAAATCAAAGTGGTTAAAAAAATTACTGTAAGTCTCTCTTATCAAGTTTAAGTGACAATAATCAAATAATTTACACATTGTTTGTTACAAGCAGATAGATGGACATTATGAAATTAATACCTGGATTAAAGCATTCTATTTTGAAAGGCTCCTAAAAGTGGCTCACTAAAATTAGTCCAACTCTTTGAGGAAAGACTGATAAAACATTATTCAGTGGCACTTCTAAAAATGGAAATGGGAAGGCATTTGGAAATAAGCCAGTCTCTTACTTCCAAAATGGAATAATATACACAGAAGAACTATAACAATAGCATGAATTTCAAATCCAAAAAGAAAGCTTGAAAAGTGACCAACCATTTCGACTTCATATTTTTGCATGCAGCCACCACAGAATTAAAAAGCAGTCCATCAATTTATAGACACAAATATTAGCACTGTCAATATTTTCACATTATATAATGGAAAAATCTTGCATTAAACAGGGCTTCCTGTAACTTTATGCACTAACCGCACTTGCATTTTTTTTTCTGAAGCTATTTACAGGAGGCAGTACATAAAAGTACCATTAAACCACTCTCATGGCCTCTCCCTTGTGTAATGGTGGAAAATCCACCTTCATGAATGTCAATACTGCATGTATGAACAGAGAACTTACTTGACCTTGGGATAGAAATTCTTAACACACACACACAGTGCCCTAGTATGTGCAAATCATCAACTAACTCAAAATGTTACATGGTCTCAGCAGGATACAGTGTTTCAGAACTGCATTTAACACAATTTGATGATTTTAAGGTTGATTCCCCTCCAAATTTTAAAAAATGAGAAATGTCCCTCACATGACATCACCTGAACTTGACTTCAGTCCAGTAAGCAAATGGAAGCAGACAGTCTTTTTGATTGTTCTATTGGCTGCTGCAAATTCTCAACCCTAATTATGACTACAAAATGAAAAGAAAATGCTTAAGCTTGAATACAAAGTTTAATTAAATGTCTCTGAAATTGGCAACTCATAAAGAGTGAAACAGAAAGACAGTATGGATTAACTTCTTTGACATTCTTTACAAGTCTGAAGAACAAAGAGAAATAAAATCAGCTGCTCTATGTGACAGAAGATCTGTGACAGGATGAAATGAACAATGTAGAGAATGAAGATTTTGAACCTGCACCCTTTTTGTGGTTTTTCCAGGAAAGATCAGCTGCCACACTGGTACACAGACCAATGGTCAATGCTAAAGCTAATCATGACATGTTTACAGACTGTGGCTGAAAACTTTCAAGTTTTCTTTTCAAAGCAAGACAAGGCATTACTATGCGCAGTGTCAGGCAACTCTGCTAACTTCAGAACTGATGCATGACATGCACACATCACATCAACTTTTAACTTCATATGTTACAGGCACAAAGAAAGTTGTGGGTGTGACAGTTTCTTGTACAGGACAACTCTTAATAATATGGTGACAGTGAGTATAAGAAGTTATATAAATAAGAGAAAATAATTCATTTCTTGATTTACGTAATACTAAAAATGTCAAGAATGTCGAACTGTTCTTATTACTTTCATATCTCCATGATAAAAATTATATTACCATATTCTCATTCATTTTTTTAAACTTGTTTCTGAACTGTAATACATATGACCCTCACCATACTGCAGCTTCGATTACAACTCTGAATGTATTGCATATATTTTATGTCACGTAAGTTCTGCGAAACATTTCTTGCGGTAGTGTGCCCATACAGAGGGTAAAGTCCATAGTCCATTATGAATGGGCTGTATGTTCCTGGTTTCACTCACCCTCAGATTATTTTGTTCAAACAGCAAAATTAATAACATCTTTTACCTGCTTGACCATAGATGGCCAGAAATCCCACAGAGCTGCTGGAGAAAACTATCATCCTGTACTAACTCTTTAGTAAGAAGTAAGTAGTGGTATAGTAACGAAGACCAAAAGAAAAAGTACATACAAAAATTCAAAAGTATTGAAACAGTTAAGAATGGCTAATCAAAAACTAGTTTATTTCACAAGCATGGAATTCCAGAAGGAACAATACACATCTGGATGAAAGAATAAGACAAATTACATCATTTGTAGATTCCACAGAAAATGGATGACATAGTTCTCATTTCATGCATCCTGCTGTGTACAATACATACAACTTATGTATTGGGCCGTCACAACACAACAATCAAAGAACTTCAGGGACAATGCCCAGATACAGTTCACTACATGTTACGGCCACTGGTGGCCATCCTCAGGTGAATACTAATGTTATATTTTAGCGTCCTGTTGCACTGATTTAAGTCCATGATTTATTTAAACCGTCTTGTAGTGCATACACTCATTTATCTCCTTCTCTCCCTCGCACTACATGTTTCGGCATAATAATGCCATCTTCAGGTGCTTACTTATCCACNNTATCGTAAATCATTTAAGACAATTATAATAAGAATATAAAATATAGGTTATTCAAAACCAATAAAAGTCTTATATAAAAAACAAAATTAAAACCTGAATGATGTTTTATAACATCAATCAGGTTTTAATTTTGTGACGGACCAATAAATAAGTTGCATGGATGATATAGGGCTGCAGAAGAAGACCAGCTTTGTGAAAACCCTCATGTAGTGGTTGCTACAAAAGTGTAGTGAAAGAATGCATATAGAAGGGATAATTTTGAAAGCTTCAAGTAGTTCAATTTTACAAACTACTTTGCACAAATGAGACACTTAGAAGCTTCTGAGGGCAACTTTGGAGGTGACAGGTTCAGCATAAGACATGACAAATAACAGTTCAGCAGGTGAACGTTTTCCTAACACCCCACACAAAGTACCTGAAACTGGTGAGTACACTGATGGACAATTATGATGAAACAACAGTGTATTACAAACAGCTCCCAAACAAATAATTAGAACTTAAAAAAACACCCAAAAAGCAAGTATGAAAATTAATGAAGGAGTAACCGTGTTGCTATGTTCCAATACCACAGGAAATCACAAATTGAAACCACTGTGCATTGTTAAAAGTGAAAGTCCTCAGTGATTCAAGCACTTCAAAATGAAATCTCTGCCTGTGATCTAAAAATACAGTTCACAGCTTGGATAGCATGCAATATTTTTGGCTCCTGGTTTGAAAGTGAATTTGTGTCAGTAAGATGCCATATGCATTCTGAAAACTTGAAGAAAAGCTTTGTTACTGCTAGATTGTCCAGATCATCCACCTGCTAGTGTCCTGAAATCGACAGAAAGAAAGAATGATCAGAGTTATATTTCTGCCAAAGAATATTACTGTAATGATTCAGCCAATGGATCAAGGCATCATCAAGCCTTCAAGTCTATTACTGCAATGAGCTACTTCCTGGAGATGTAAGCTCTGAATTTAAAATTATGGAATTTCTAAAGACATCAACACTAATGGATGCTGTATATGGTGGAAAGTTATACAAACTACGACTGCAAACTTCTGGGAAAAGTGTGTTCGAAAAGATGTCACTGAAGACTAGGCAAAATTAATTCCACTTCCAAAAGAAGATATGAAGGCTGTTTATAATGCACTTGGTAGTAATTTAGAAGCAGATGACCTATCATCTTGGACTGAGATAAATGTAGGAATTCCAGTGGCACAGCATCTTACTGAAGAGAGTATTCACAGCTTCTGTGAAATGTGTAAAAACAACTGATAAACTTGGAGAAGTGACTCAGAAAACAACTGTGATTTCTGTGGAGTGCTGGTACCAAGAGCAAGTGAAAGTGGTAGAAAATATTAATGCAGTGATGACATGGTTAAAACAATAGACAGATTATGCATACATTCATTCAAGACATATAACATCAAGCAATATATTCTTTAAATAAAAAGACAGTCACTGGTTCCAACAAATTACATTATGTGGATATTTTTGAAGGAGGCATAAATACAAGAAATTTATAGTGAAATGTGCGAGCAGCATTAGTGAAAAGCAAGTTTGAAATATACCTTAAATTCTTTTTTAAGTATTTTAGTCACATATAACAACAGGGATTCTAAAATTAGATGTCAATTCCACTTACAATGTGGGCACTAAGCTTTATATCGAGGATCTACTGCTCATGTGATTATAAGTTTGGAGATGGGCTTGAAGATTCTATATTTCAACCATTTTTGGAAGTTACACATACCATTCTCATAAAAATTTTATAAATAATTATATCGAGGTTTCAATGTATCACACACGTGTTACGTATATCAGACATGCATATCCACTGCCAAGTAGATGCCCAAGAGAAAATCAAAGGTGAAGGGAAACTGCAGTCTTAATAAACACCAATGCAGGCATATCATCAACCTAATTTGGACACTGTTGTAAAATATTCTTATTAACTTTACAGATCAAGTACCCAAGATTTAAATTTGTTAAAAATAAATCCAGTAGGTTTTCAGCTAGAAAGATCCACACCCTCAATAGTATTTGAACCTAGAAGAAAAAATCACCTCTTAAATGGAGTTCCAGTTGAGTTCTCATAGTTTAAATTCTGTCTCTGTATATTCTGCTTTCATAACTGAGAACATTTCAAAGCAACAAATTACTAACCATTTAATATTTTTGTAATTATACTTGTTCACCTCCTTTTCAATTTGCAAAGCCAATTCTCTTGTCGGAGCCATCACCAGAACATTTGCTCCACGACGTTCTGACCTAGGAACTGGTTGCATATCTATGTGGATGAGAGCTGGTAATAGGAATGCGAGGGTTTTTCCTGCACAACAAAGCATTAAATGAAACATAAGGAATGTATATCTGAAATACAATAATAACTGTTTATGTGTACAGTCAAACTTGATTACAGTGACCTCAGCTGAAGTGACACCTTGGCTGTAGCATCTAATATTGAGTGGTACTAATTGTGGCTGTGCGCGTTGTATTAATACAACGCACGCAGCCATAAGAGAAGGACACATCACAAGATGCAGTATCCACAAAATATAGGAAGAACGACTCCCATAGCATAAGACTGATATAATACGCGAGTTTGAAATATGATGTACAAGATGATAAATATATAAATTTTTTATTATAGTACATGACGAATATACAGGGTTTGTCTGAAAAGTAATGTCAGTGATTTTATTGTGAAGTGACTATACGTCGCAGCACGCTCAGACCGGTTGGGATCGGTGGAGGGGGAAGTCAGCTTATGAACGTGTGGTCGCTTAGTCGTCTCCGAACTTCCTGAGTGACGAAAGGCTTTTCCGTGAAACTCGTTTTTGTCTCCCGTGCAAGCCGCAATGCAGCGCTCCTTGGAACAAAGGATTGCCATCAAGTTTTGTGTGAAACTTGGCAAGTCTGCAGTGGAAACTTTTCCTATGATAAAGACGGCCTTCGGTGATGATTGTTTGTCGGAACGTCAGGTCTACCAGTGGCACAAGGCCTTTTTAGAAGGCCATGAAGAGGTCGGCGATGAAGCCCACGCTGGACGGCCATCAACAAGCACCACCAACGAAAATGTCACGCGTGTGAGAGAACTTTTGAACTCAGACCGTCATTTGAGTGTTCATTTAATGGCACAGACATTAAACATTCCAAAAAGTACTGTTCACGAGATTGTGATGAACAATTTGCAGATGTGAAAAGTGTGCACAAAGCTGGTGCCCAAAGTGTTAAAAGATGACCAAAAATTGCGCAGAGTTGAAATGTGCCAAGAACTTTTGGACTTGTGTGAAAGTGACCCTCACTTTTTAGACAATGTCATCACAGGTGACGAGATTTGGGTGTTTGAGTACGACCCTGAAACAAAAAGGCAAAGTGCCGAGTGGCACACCTTGGCATCCCCTCACCCCAAGAAGGCCAGAATGAGCAAGTCATGTTCATTGTGTTTTTGACATCAGGGGGCTCGTCCACCATGAGTTTGTACCACATGGTACAACCATCAACACCACATTCTACGTGGAAGTGCTAAAGAGACTCAAACAAAGGGTTTATCACATCTGGCCTGACATCGCGGACGACTGGAAACTTCACCATGACAATGCGCCAGCCCACACCGCCTTCCTCGTGACCCGCTTCCTGACCGATTCAAAGGTGCCAGCGGTTCCCCAGCCATCCTACAGTTCTGACATGGCTCCCCCAGACTTCTTTTTGTTTCCACACTTGAAAACTCCCATGAAAGGACATCATTTTGGGACAGTTGACGAAGTCAAAGAGGCTTGCACCAAGGCTCTAAAGGACATTCTGGAGGAGGCCTGCCATGACGCCTTCGATGCCTGGAAATCTCACTGGAAGCGATGTATCGAGGCAGAAGGAGCCTATTTTTAAGCCTTTTAATGTGTTGTACCGATCTAATCACTAAATGTTTTTAATTGACTCGCTGACATTACTTTTCGGACAAACCCCTGTATATTTTAAATCATTTTATAAACGACACACGATGGTGAGCAGTGCAATAGTTTAACATAAATAACACACATGAGGATGGCACAGTGATGCTGAAACATGTAGTGAAGTGACAAGTGAGATTGTGTGCACTAGAAGACGGTCAATACATACACATCATGGATGTTGGTAAATGTTATACTGTCTGTTATATGAAGGTCTTTCCACCAAATGTCGAGGTGCTACATGTACAGAGATGGAGGAAGAACAAACATGGTGACACTAATATGTCCACAAAGTAATATACATTATTAGATGCAAGCCTTAAAAATTACATATTTCAAACATTTTTGGATATTAAGTGTACTCATTATAATGAGCATTTCTAAGAATTTCACCAATTTGAATTATATCAGGGCTGCATGGTAATTCTGCAGGGAACATAAAACAGTGAATCATGTTTAATACTGTGGCATATCTGCTCAAAGCAAGAACTGTGGAGTCAGCGAAACAGCTGTTGCTAGGTAAAGCCTACACGCAACAATAGAGGAATTGACATATGTGACGCGTATAGCCATTGCTATGGAGCGAAAGGGTAAGCACATACGTGGTGACATTATGCAACAACAGAAGAGGTGTTGCAAGTGCCATTCTCTGTGGGTCCACTCCAAGAAAGAGACACACAGTGTGGTACAGATGAGGGTACAGTTATGGAGTGTTAACCAGTGCGAAACAGAAGCTGAAGAATATCCACTGTTTAGATTTGTTGGCCAAAACAAGTGGATAGCAACCCCATCCACTAGAACAGCGGTGCTGCCAAAGAATACAATATATATTACCTGTAGCAATTTTGTTCTTACTCTGTGAGATCAACATGCTGTCTGTGCTTGTCATCCACAGACAATTTTTGAACTGACAAACTTCAGCAAAATTTGGTATGAAGTCATGCCAGACTTCACCCCAACCTTGTACACTTTAATTTTTTACAATCAGTAAAAATAGCATGTTGGACACGTGAACTTGTGAGGTGGGAGCAATACCAGTGACAACATGAGGCCTTGATGACATACAGTAATAGGTCACTGTAAAATATGCAATGTTTATTAAGGTAATTATTTTGTAGAATGCAAAATAACATAGTAGCCATGCAAAAATATTCTTCAGCGTTTGGTTTAGTGGTGACAACTAAGGACCCACAGAAGCTAGGCATGTGAAATTTGGTATGCAGGTTGATCATAGTACATCTACATATTCTGCATTCACTGCTATTTGTAAATCAAGAACTAACATGGAAATGATGTGAAGCTTTGAGGTTAAATGACAAATTTAATGCAGACAAAATCTGTAAATTAGCAAGAAGTGAGATGTGAGAAGATCCCGATACACAGGTGCTCCACACTAGTCACTTCTACCACCAGAAAATCATATCAACGTCACAAAGTTTAAAGAGGTTTATCGCAAAATACTTCATTTACATTTTAGTACAATTTTAATTTTTACATTTTAATCTTTAGTCTCTAATTATTTAAATTTTACTATCTGAGTATGTAAAATTTTAACTGAAAGACTCAATTTATGCATTTAAAAACACTCAAGTGCACAATAAGGATCCCTATTGAAGAATTAGATGCAATTCAACAACTGAGTTGAGTTGAGTTGAGTTGAGTAACCAACACAATTTTAAATGTTATACTATACAAAATTGTAAGATACTTGAAGTCACCTCTTCCTCTGAGAAGCAAAAATTAACTCCACATTAGTCACTTTCACTGACAATCCCTTCCATGAATAAAATTCAATGAGACTGCATATGGCTAATTCACACCAAACCAGACAATATGGAAAAATCTGCCTCTCTGCTTAAGATCAAGGCTTAAAGCAATGTTCAACACAGCATTACACTCAGAAATTAAGAATTCTTTGTTGTTACAGCAATTACATATGACTGACAAGTTTGTGGGTGGTTCAAGGTCATATGCCCAACACACTGTGCATAGGTATTCATTAGTGTTGCATGTGTTGCCTTGTATAAATACTTAGCATTTCTATGTGAGAAATGAAGATCACAATAGGGTTGTGACTTTTTTCATTTTGTATATCACTAGTGCATGAAAAAACTGCAAAGAAACTTCAAATACCAGTGTGGGTATCCATTATACAAAGCAAATAACATATAACCTAACACAATTCATAAGACAGTAATAAAGTACCTTAATAAGCATCTTACCTGTGCCAGTTTGTGCAATCCCAATAAGGTCATGACCTTTTAATAAAACTGGCCAAGCCTGACATTGTATGGGTGATGGAACTTCAAAGTTCTGCTTATAAATTTCCTCTAAAATTTCTGGGTAATGTGCAAAGCATTGCTCAAATGTCTGCACAGGATTAGGTATTCCACTTTCAACTTCATCAAACACATAGCTCACAACAATATTATTATTTGCCTTCCTGTACCAACAAACAAAAAACATCATAAAAATCACTGAAAATGTTCTAATACACCAGTAACCTACTAATTATATGTTCCATCAGCATGCACTTTGGATGAAGTAGTTCTATTCCAGTCCTATATAGAGAAGGGGGAGGGGGGAACATGCAGCAATTTAAAAATTGCATCTTCAGTCTATATATACACAAGTGCAGTGATGAAAACATTTTATAACAGCTGTTTTCAAATCCTTTTTTTGATGCCTACTGTAACAGTTTAAAATTTGTCTGGACCCCCCTGACATGAAAGACAGAAAGAAAGAAAGAAAGAAAGAAAGAGAGGAAAAAAGAAAGAAACATAACATAAATGAATGATGATTACCCTTATATATGTCACCTGTACAATATTTGGAGTTGATTCAAAACACAAACAGCAACCAATGGGAATGCTGGAAATGGGTACTTAGATACCAAGATGCTCTGGTATCCTTAGGGGTCCCAGTACCATAATTTGAGAAATGCTGCTCTGTAACATCACTGCAGATGGTATAAATTCATCAAATGCTCTATCTACAGTAGTCTTTCTGAAACTTGTTAACTCTTTGGATATGTGAAACATATCAGTATCTGTTTAATTCTACTAGTGCCTTGCAGTCTATTTATAGGTCACCATTGGCCTGCACTCTGTGCCACAGGCCTACTAGTAGGCCAGTTTTTATGTGCTTGTATTTCCTGTCCTATCCAACAGAATGGAACAGAAATCGCTACAATGTGAAGCGTGGATCTTGTCCTCACCAACTTATATCAATATATCTTGCCCTTGTTCCATACTAAATTTTTATTTGAATTTTATTTAAAGTAATCTTGGATGTACTGCACACTCTGCTTCATATTATGTAGTGCAGTCTTGCTAAATAACTCAATGGAGCTCAGCCCTTCTTGAAAAACAGCCAGTCACTCAGACACTAAAGAATATCCCAATATTGTAGGGAACCCTGAAGTTTCATAATAACTGTATAAGCCAAACCATTTATTTTTTGTCTCAGCTTTATTTATTTCAGTTTTCCTCTGTAAATGGAAAATGCCAAACAGTAGTGTGATACAGAACTATTTATCAAAAGGTTATCACATTTTCACAGACACTTTCTTTAGAACTATACCTCCTGCCAGGGTTATGAAAGGGACCTTTCGTAAAAACAGAAAATTCATGCCAGTTTTAGTTTCTGTAACAAACAGCAACTCTCCACACTGTAAATCAATTTACCGGAATCTCTGGACTTCTTCTGGTAACATATTCGCAACTTCTGGATCCTCAATATAAAAGTCTTTATGTAATGGAGGACACTTACTCCATCGTTCTTTCTGGGCTTCCTCCTGTAACATTATGAGAATCAATTATACCACTGATAAAAAGCAGTGTAATAACTACATATCTTTCATTTCAAAACTCTGAAAACTAAAATTAACATACAAATCCAGCACTACACAACAGTTCTAAAGAGATAATTACTTTGATTTGTTTCATTCTGGTCCGTCACATTAACAATTACAAAGCATAAATCACTCCGTCCAATGTGACCTGTAAGTCTTTTACTACATAAGGGTGTTAAGTTTTTATGTAGTAAAAGACTTACAGGTCACATTGGACGGACTGATTTATACTTTGTAGATAATTACTTATATATATATACATATACACACAATCTGAACAATCTTAAAAAACAGACAGTTTTGTCAAGTGCATTACACAGTAATTAGCTTTCATCCTCTTTATTTACTTTACCACATGTTTGTCAATAAGTACACAGGGTGTATTTTGAGGACTGCAAAAATTCAAGGGTAATTTTGAAAAAAACATCTGATTATTATGGGTCCAAAAAAAATAAGGAATCATGGCAGCTTGAAAACAAAATAAAAATGTGCAAAAAATAATGGTTTCATTTAAATATTTGTATATCTTATAACCTTTCAGCATTATATTCAACAAACCTTTAAATAATTATTTACATCAACTCAAACCACAACATTTTCCTTTCCTCATCTAATGACATTATTTTCTACTTACGAAGATTCTGCTAGCCTTAGCCCAGTCTATCTGTGGCTTCTGTGGTTCAGGCTCAACAACTGCAGTCTCAGTTCCTCCAGTACCACTGCAACTGCTTCCATCACTTTTTGAGCTGAAGTTGTTCAAAAAATCTTCAATCAAATGTTTTGCCTTAGCTACTGAATCTACAGATCCAGAGAGAATAACTGAAGTCGTCTGGCCAAAATCTTCATCACATGGTTTACCAACCTGAAACATCATTCTACTGTATATGGAAAATGGAACTTACTATGCAATAAGCAATTTTTACTTTGTAACTAAGAAAATTTCAACAATTTACTGGACAAGAAAACTGCAAGTTTAATATTACTAGAAATATATATAACTGATACAAATGCAATGTGTGTCTACCACTGAGTTATATTATGCATAGCACCATATTTCATGGGGGGTATTACAATACCTTATCGTGCAGGAACTTATTTATAGAATTAGAAATCTTACCTCTGGTATCTCAGCACATCCTATCTCTTATGCTCTTTGTGATAAAAACAGAAACAAACTCATAATAAATTCAGAGATTCATAGAATAAGTACCAGACAGCAAAAAAATCTCCATCACCCTCTTGTAAATTTGAGTAAATACCAAAAGGGAGTTTACTGTTTAGGAACAAAGGTCTATAATAATCTACCACAACAAGACTACAATAATGAAACATAAATATATTCTACTTGACATTCAGCATATAACAGAAAAAGATCATTAATTAATATTGAAGTTAAAATATTCTTCCAATGAGTAAAATGAATTTAAGCGCAGAAATCTTTTTAAAGCAAATTGTTTCTCATTATGAGCTAAGTTCTTTTATGCTAGAAGGAAGATTATTAAAAACTTTGATTCCAAAATATTATGTTACTTTTTGAAATACTGTTAAATTACATATTGGATAATGGAACTGTTATTGTGTCTTGTATTAATGCTATGAATCTCACGGTTAGATTTAAATTGTTCTCTGTTTTTAGCCATAAACAGTCGGAGAGAAAATATGTACTGTGATTGGAAGGACAACATTTTCAGTTTCTTAAACAATTACCTGCAAGAGTCTCTACTTCTGGAGTTAGTAATAATTTTAATTACCCTTTTCTGTAGCCTAAAAATATGAATACTATGGGGAGAATTGCCCCAGAAAATTATACCATACATCATAACAATGAAACTATGAGAAATAAATCATTCTTATGGTTTCCTGTGACATATAAGGTTAATAGCCCTGATTGCATAACAGCCCAAACCTAATTTAGACATAAGCCAGGCGATATGTCCTTTCCATGTCAACATATTGTTGATAACTAATCCAAGAAATTTGGTATTAGAAGATTTAGCAATCTGACTGTTACCATTGTCAATATGCATATCCAATGGATACCTACTCTTGGTCCAAAATTGTATAAAATATGTCCTATAAAAATTTAGTGTCCATAAATTAGCTTTAAACCAATCATTTGTTTTTAAATGTTTGAATAACATTGTTTTCATAATATAAAGGGCTAGAATTCGTGATAATTATAGTGTCATCTGCAAAAGAATAGGTTTGGAATGACTAATTACAATGTTTGGCAAGTCATTTATATACTCGTACAAAGTGTCCCAGGTGTTTGGTGCCATACTTCAGGAGTGTACTCAGGGTTCCCTATAGAACAACTTTGAAATAGGAACCCATGTCCGCAAATGTAAAACAGCAGCGTTAGGGCGGCATTTAATATCATTTTGTTTATACTTGGCGCCTCAATGTCGAAGAGCATGCACTGACATATTACCCCCTCCAAGCTCTTAAGATTCACCTGCTACAGTAGATGTTGGAATTGGCGTTGTCCATTTTCAATGCATGCGTTACATCTACAAAAGAAACTTTGGCGCACCCTTTCAAATATTCCAGGTGTCTCACGGATCAGGTCACATGCAACAAGTATTCTGGCCAACAGCTCAAATCATTATCTACAGGCGTGTCATAGATCAGGCGTTTCACATGGCCCCAGACGAAATAGTCCAGAAATGTCAAGTCTGGGGATCAGGGTGGCCAAGGCACTGGGCCTCCTCTTCCTATTCAATGACCATGAAAAGCAGCATCCAGGTAGTCTCATGATACAATGCTGAAGTGTGCCAGTGCTCTGTCATGCTGTATCCACATTTGCCTCCACACAATCAGCAAAGTTGGAAGGATACATTCCAGGAACACCTTGTCAAAGGGGCCATTGAGTTGCAATGGTAGGATGAAAGGCCCAATCAGGTGACCGCCAACGATGTCCGCCCAGACATTGACAGAAAATTGTGCTTGGTGGTAACCAACTACAGTAACACTGGGATTTTCGTCAGCCCAAACATGGCTGTTTCGACAGTTGAACCAGCCATCCCTTGTAAACTGCGCTTCATCTGTGAATAATGCGTGATTCAGGAAGTTGGGCTGATGGAAACACTGGTTCAGTATCCACTGACAAAATTGAACTCATGGTATGAAGTCAGCTGGACCTATGTCGTGTACTCACGTTGGATGATACTGATAAAGTTGTTGGTCATGCAGGATCATCCAAACACTTGATTCTGATGTCCCCACAATCTAGGCTATGGCACGAGTGCTGGTGGATGGCTGTTCCTCTATGCAATGCAGTTCAACGTTGAGGCGCCAAGTTTAAACGAAATGATTTTAAATGCCACCCGAGCACTGCTATTTTACATTTGCAGACATGGGTTCCTATTTCAAAGTTATTCTATAGGGAACCCTTAGTACGCTCCTGAAGTATGGCACCAAACTCCTGGGACATCCTGTATAAAAGAAATAATAAAGGTCCAGTATCTATCTCTGGAGAACACCATTATTAACTTTGTCCCATGTGGAATGAATATGCCAATTACTGATTACAACCCTTTGGTACCTCTCTTTGAGATAGGATTTTATCAATGCATTGGCCTTACAAACTACTTTATAAAATTCTAGTTTATATAGTAAAATGTCACGATTGACACATTCAAAAGCTTTAATGATCACATACCTGAATGTGTGCACCACTTTCATTTTGCAGCTCTCGAATTTTGGTTCCACCTTTTCCAATTATCTTCCCAACATCGCACGCCTTTATTAAAACTTCAGTTCTATCACATCCCATTCCACAGTCATTACGTCCACCAGAGTTATATTCTCGATCATTACGACCACCAGAGGAATATTCTTGACAATTCCTACCATCTCGATTTTGCCCTCTGTTGTGCTCAAACCTTCCACCTCGAATGCCTTGCCCACTTTCCCTTACTTCAGATTTATAATTATTTGTATAGCTATTCCTTCCACCATGCCGGTTTCTATAATCACGTCCTGTAGCCCCACTTCTCCCGTTACCTCCACGAGCAAAAGTTTTGGAATATATTGGAGTGTATTCTGTCCGGCTTTCACCATCCGAGTTCCATCCATCGTTCATGCTGCCTGAAATGTAAGCACACACGAAACTGCATGCAAATCTTACAAAATTACAAATGTCTCAGATATAACGCAAACGCTTCTTCAAAATCTCTACAAACAGCTTTCTTTTTATTAAATTTGCCTCATGAGAATAAACACTGTTAATTGCCACTTGAATGTTAAGATATCTGTCGCTGTTACATACTGCTATTCATCAGTTTTATGGTCCTGTTGTCTGCTGATTTTTAGATATAACATACAATATAATAAAAACTGCCCTCTAATGTTCTTAGTGTGGATAAATCAAGCGAAAGGAATGATCTCAAACCAATCAAACATTCAACTGATTCAACGACCTACCTACTTCCACCGACTACCTAACCAACCGAACAATACCTAACGACGCCTGACCGCTTCTCACATATCAACCATACCAATGATCGCCAATGATCGAAAGACAACAACAATGGTGACGATGACAGGGTGTCAGCAACACAAGGGCTGAAACCCTTGACGACGAAATTAAAAATAAACAGTGGCCGGCATTACATACCAAAGTCGACAAAAAGAAAGTATCGAAGTATCGAACTACGCACAGTTATTTGGTTATTTGGGTGTGAATCGCAGAGGTCACAGATTTCGTTTGAAAGATGGTAGGCCTTGAATGAGCAGTCGAGACCTGAGATTATTCTTGTTAAAATAACCAAATAACTTTTTAATTATCCAACCATGTTGTGTTTGAACTTGAATTTGTTTACGTTCCGTAAAACCAAGTACAGGTTGACCCCATAGGATATGGAGATATGGAGCACGTCAATTACAAATACATGTCTGTATCGAACTGTACAATATCGAGTTTTCTCGACTACACATCTTACACCACTAATTGGAATTATATACGTATACTTGGTTCCAGTAATTCCCAAACAAATCTCACATTTAGATTTTGCTACTCTTCAATTTGATCCATCCCAATTTCACTCCATGTTCTCCATATATCACGATTATCACGATCGATCAAGATCTGTAGATCGGTGTTCATGGTTGGTGTGATCGGGTATGATAAGCGATCGGCAGCGATAAGGTAGGGTCGGTAGGGTCGGTAGGTTAGAGCTGTTAGAGGGGTTAGAGCGGTTAGAGCATCTTGGACCGTTTCACGTTGTGGTGTGTAATTTTTTTTTGTAGATTGATTTTCGAGCTGTTATTGTTTATATTTTTTTACCCGTGACATAATAATGGATGTAGACTTAATGAGACCCGGAAGAGGGAGACCGTCTCATAGTACTGTGTTGTGGTTTGAGTTTTTGTTGGATCCTAGCCTACTGGAAAACCATTTACAGAAAGAAACACCAGGTAATGCCACTTAAATTTATCCGTAACGATGGTGGTATAAGGTAGAGTTTTTAACAATCATCAGTGCTACACTGTGTTTAGTTGAGCTTCTCCTTGTACTTGTCTGTATGCTATTATGTACGAATGGCGGCTTTCATAAACGAGAATACTGGATTAAGAGTTGATGCTAAATTATAACCAACATGTACTAACCAATTATGTGTTCTTTTTGTGTAATTTTAAAGTACATGCTTTTCCTTGTCATTCATACTTGTAGAAATCTTAAACGCTTAATCTGCAGTGACAAGACTAGCCAGTGCACTATACATCTATTACCCCTGTATTACATAGGCTATTAAATATCATCATCATCAGTAATCTGTCAGACGACAGGTCCACAGTCTCTTCCAAAACGATTCCTCCACTTAATGCGATCAAGAGCTTTCTCCTTCAAATGACAGTATCCTCGTCGTCTTGTCACTTATATCCGCCCCTCTATCTTTCCTTCAATAACTTCTTTTAGAAGGCAGTTACCGCGTAAGATATCACCAGTCCAATTGGCCTTCCTTTTTTTATTTCGTGTAGGATATTCCTCTGCTCACTGACTCTTATTAACACTTCTTCATTTCTCACATAATCGGTCCAACTGATGTTCTCCATCCTTCTCCAACACCACATTTCGAAACTTTCCAGATGTTTCCGATCTACTGCCCTAAGTGTCCAAGTTTCAGCCCCATACAGAGCTATGCTCCAAATGTAGCATTTCACTAGTTTCTTCCTCAAATTTAAGTGCAATTTGCTGGTAAAAAGATTCTTCTTCTTGCTAAATGCAGCTTTTGCCATGGCAATCCTGGATTTAATTTCACTAGTACACCTTCCATCATCTGTTAACAAGCTACCCAAATATTTAAAACATTTCACATTCTCCAGTTGTTTTTGGTC